AGGGGATTATTTGGCTCATAGTTCATTATTCACATGCGTACCTCTAGTCTGTTCCCTGTCAAATGTAGGTGTAATGGCAGGGAGACACTATATGCAATGAGTTCAGTCTTCAGTTACCTTAGTTGTAAGAGTCTCAAGTAAGTCCTTTTTGGGGCAAGTGTCCTGGAATGTCTGTTCAAGAACTCCTGTGAAACCACAACAGTTTAGCTACAAGAGAAAATAAAAAAAATCTTTAAGACCTTTGAGATTTTAGATTATCTAAAACAAACACAGGTTACTCAAATAGGAGCGTTTCAAATATTTAAAGTACATCAATAATTTTGATTATGCCACTAAATGCTTTATATTAACATAATATCTTTGTTAGCCTTACATTAAGAGAATTTGAACAAGTCAGGAAGTAAAGAGTTTTTTAACACTAAAAATTACTGAATTCACATGTACCACCAAAAAAAAAAAAAAAAAAAAAAAAACGGCTCTATGTCACCGTCCTCACAGCTCCCCGCCCCCTCACATCACTGTCCCCCTGGCTCCCCATGGCTCTATGTCACCGTCCTCACTGCTCCCCGCCCCCTCACATCACCGGCCCCCTGGCTCCCCACATTGCTACAGGAACCTTAATTTCTAATGTTCCGTTTACATTTTAAAATTTTTTTAAAAGAGCTTGTTCAATAATTTGGTTGGCTTGTGTAGTTCCACATTAGTCTGGTGCCATTTTTGCACTGTTTACACATCCTGTTCCATAGCACTATGGATACGCATCTAATGTAACAGAGTCATTGCATTGTACCCAACAATGATATGCATCTTGTCAGCAAAAATTGCAAAATTGGGCTCAAAGATAATCCTGTAATCTAAAACATGATTTATGTTTTTTTCTTCCCAGTCTTAGCCGTGAAACTTCCTCTGAGAATCAGTGCCAAATTTTTAGATTAAAGATGTGTGAACAGTTTTTTTTTGTAAACAAAAAGTAAGTTTCTCAAATGGTAATGGCTCAAATGTAAAGAAACACATTAATTTGGGCCAAGACCAAGTATATGAGGCATCCTTAATTCCTGACCCAAAGGAAAAAGTTTTCAGATGTTCACCAAAAAATGTAGGGACCGTGAGGGCATGTTTACACCAGGCAATTATTTCGAAGTAGTTCTTACGGGAGTTATTTCTTCAAAATAAGTTATTTTGAAATATTGTGTCCACACTACAGCGAAGCCTTGTAATTAGTCTGAGGCAGGCTCCCTTAATGTGGACATACTACCTTGACTTAAGAGCCCCAGGAAGAACCGGGGAGTAAATACTCTGAATGACTCTGGGGAGTATTTATTTCAAAATAGCAGCTGTGGAGTGTCCACATTAACACTATTATTTCAAAATAAGTGTTATTCCTTGAGGAAAGCAGGTGTTATAATATCAAAATAACCAGCCCTTTATTTCAAAATAATGGTCTAGGTAGTGTGGACGCTCCGCTCGTTATTTCAAAGTAACTCCTTAGTGTAGACCAGGGCTTAGAGTTAAAATCTTTTTAACCTTCACTATACAGTCTTTGCTACCAGGTACACCATGATTAGGAGACTACCCACACAATGCAGTTTTTTTTTTAAACTTGGTTTCTTTTCAAAGTCTGCCATCTCTCTGTAGACCAAACTTGCTGAAACTGAAGGTTAGACATCATAAATAAGATGGGATATTTCACTTCATTCTTAATGTATTGTCTGGCTTTTAAAAATAGACATTGTATGCATTTAAAAGAAATAAGTGTGATTGTACACTTACCGCATGTTGAAATGCTCTCAAGGTTTCTCTAGCTGCTGGCTGGCTCCTCTTATCATAGGTTTCTTTGTAAAATTTCTTGACTTCGCCAATAATCTATCAAAATACAGAAAAGCTATAATCCTGTTTTAATCTTGATTTATGGTATTTATTTTTTGTCCTGAAGAAGTTTTTTATACTTAAATCTGCTATTTTACTGTTTAAATGTTCCATCCCATGAAGAAGTAATCACCCTCCTAAAAACTCAGTCCTATGCACCTCTAAAAATATGCATGAACCTTAGAAAAGCAAGGAGATAACTAAAGGAGGAATTGAGAGGATAGGTATAGCAAGATAAGAGTTACAACAGTGAAAGATTGTTATGGATACATCATGCAGTTCTTCCAGGTTCTGTTTTTTCTTCAATATTTGACTAAGTAAGAAGATACCCGCTTTAGAGTGTACCTCTAAATCTTGAGGGAATTTGAGGGGGCTGAAAACATGCCTCCTTAGATACTTACATCTTTAGGCCCATATCATGCAAGCACGTATGTGCCTGCTTACCTCTGTGCATTTGAGTACTCCTGTTGAAGTTAATAGACCTACTTACAGGCCTAAAGGGCATGGCTACACAACCTGTTGCAGCTAGCCTTTGAGCCTGGATCAACAGGCTTGGGCAAGCAGGGTTCACACCAGTGGGCTAAAAATAGCTGAGTATATGTTGCATCTTAGGTTGCATTTTGGGCTCTGAAGCTTAGTTAGATGGATGGACATCAAATCCTGAGCCACAACTTAAAAGCACTGATGACCCAGCTACTTTTAGGGTATGTCTAGATTACATGCCTCTGCCGACAGAGGCATGTAAAATAGGCTACCTGACATAGTCAATGAAGTCGGGATTTAAATATCCCTGGCTTCATTAAAATAAAAATGGCCACGATGCTGCATTGGCTCAGTTGATCGTTGGCACAGCCATTTTTATTTTAATGAAGCCGGGGATATTTAAATATGTCAGCAGAGGCATGTAATCTAGACATACCCTAAAAGTAGCTGGGTCATCAGTGCTTTTAAGTTGTGGCTCAGGATTTGATGTCCATCCATCTAACTAAGCTTCAGAGCCCAAAATGCAACCTAAGATGCAACATATACTCAGCTATTTTTAGCCCACTGGTGTGAACCCTGCTTGCCCAAGCCTGTTGATCCAGGCTCAAAGGCTAGCTGCAACAGGTTGTGTAGCCATGCCCTTTAGGCCTGTAAGTAGGTCTATTAACTTCAACAGGAGTACTCAAATGCACAGGTAAGCCAGGCGCTTGGGCAGCCACTCAGCAGAGGTTCCAAGGCCGCCCAGCTGATGAGCAGAGAACCCACAGCTGGGTTTGTGTTTCTGTGGGTGGTGCACATCCGTGCGTGCCTTGGTGCTCATTTGGTGCATGAGTGGAAAAGATTAGAGGGAACATTGTCCACCAGTACCGGGGGGGCCTCCAGCCCCCACATCCCTCCCTGTCTCCTTCCAGCCCACGCCCCCTCTGTGCCCCACAGCCTGTCCCTTCCCACTCCTGTTGTGCCAGACCCCATTGTGCCTCAACTGCCGGGGCGGGGGCAGACCTCTGCCCTGGTAACCCCTTGCTCTCCTCTCCCATAGGAAGGAGCAGCAAGAGTTGGGGTTGACGGTGCTGCTGGATCTGCGGCAAGGGGGGGCTGTGCCCCCCCAACCCCCTGCACTGCTGCCAGCCCTGCGGGAGCTGC